GGGCCGGACTCGGGAAGGGGGGGAAAACGCCGGTGAAGGGTTGGCTGGGGGCGAGCGGAGCGACAGCAGAGCTGCTGCGAAACCTCTCAGCCTGCCTCTCCCCCGCGCGTCCAGACTCGGAGGAGGCGCGGACTGGGGGGGTGGAGATGAGCCAGGACGGGCACCAGGTTGCCATCCTGACGGCGGAGCTGACGGTCGCAGCGGGCCGGGTGGTGGAGATGAGCCAGGACGGGCACCAGGTTGCCATCCTGACGGCGGAGCTGACGGTCGCCCAGCGGGCCGGCGTCATCCAGCGCTTTCGCGACGGGAAGGAGAAGGTCCTCATCGCCACCAACGTCTGCGCCAGAGGTACCTCCGGAAAACCCAACGCCCCTCGCCTTTCCGACGGCGTGAAAACGCGCTTCCCGGCCTCTGGTTCTTCCGGTGGCAGCGTGGGCTGGAGCAAGGGATCCTCCCCGACCTGCGGGGTGAGGTGATCCCTCTCCACGGCCCCTTTCTCTCTTTTTCAGGGATCGACGTGCAGCAGGTCACCGTCGTGGTGAACTTCAGCCTCCCCACCGATCAGAAGAGCGAGCCGGATTTCGAGACTTACCTCCACCGCATCGGGCGGACGGGACGCTTTGGGAAGAAGGGCATCGCCTTCAGCATGGTGGAAAGCCAGAACGTGGGGCTGGTGCAGATGATAGAGGAGCATTTCCGTGAGTATCCGCCCGGATCCACCTCTCCGGGAGGCGGTTTTGGGATCGGTGATCCCCCTCCGGCTCGTTTCCCCATCTGCAAATGGACCCTGTTGGGCTGCTCTTCTCCCCAGGGCTCATCCCACTCGCTACAGGCGACAGATGCAGCTTTTCCTTTCGGCCCCTCACCCTTTTAGGGTTGGGGTTTGGTTTTTTTATTCCCCCCTAGCAGCCAGATTTTCAGAGGAACAGCCTAGGAGGTTGTGCGCGACTTGCAAGGGACGTTACAAGTACCCAGGATGCCTCAGCACCTCTTTTTTGTCGGTTTTCTTTTCTTTTTTTTTTTTTTTCCTTCCCTCCTTCAGGCATTTTATCTGCCTTTTACCCTGCAAATCCCTGTCCCGGGGGAGCCGGCGCCCCGGCTTAGCTCAGCCCTGGCTGCGGGAGAGAAGCCGGCAGCTGAAATCGCGCGGGTCTTTTCCTGACTGCGAATCCATTGTCGGTGATAAACGTCGAGAGGATTTCTCACGGGATCTGCAAGATGCCGTGGCTGCACCGGTGGCTTTTCAAATCCCGGTGCCTGTTTTCCCTGGTGGGTTTGGGGTTTTTTTTTTTTTAATTTTTAGGGAAAAGAAGGTTATCGAAAACTTTTGGCGTGCAGAAAACCACGTTCCCTTCCGCAGCTTCGTCCTCAGGGCTGCTGAACTGCCTTGGCAGCTTCGTCCTTTCAATTTAAAAACCAAACCAGCCGGCGGCAGGCACCGGGCAGAGAAGGCACGAGCCCGATGGTCTGGCGAAGATTGATTTTTTTTTTTTATTTTTATTTTTTTTCCTGAGCAGCAGAAGTGTCGGACAACTGCGATGAGCAGCTTTAATCACCCCGAGGTGGATGGGTCCGACCGCGGCCACGGCCGGAATTAGCCAAAGGAACCCAGTGTGGGATTTCCCCGGGATGAAAATCCGAGCGGACGAGCTCCCAGCCACCTGACTTTGGCTTTTTAACGCCGTCACCTCGCGATTCGAGGGCTGGGGGCTGCCTGACGAGGATAACGAACCTTCCCCGTCCCCGCGTCGCGTCGGAGGTGGGAGTCAAGAGCGGGAGCGCGTCCGGAAACCTAACCCGACTCCCTGCTTCTCGCTCGGGCCGCCTCTTGCTTTCTTAGCAGCCTCGTCTCGGCCGCTGCCCTTCGTCCGGTTTGCGCCGTGCTTTCTCCAGCTCCGCTTGACTGTCGCTTGAAGGGCCACGGAGTGGGAACGCTACACCGAGCGCGTCGGGGAGCTTTCCAGCCCGCGCGTGCAAGCGCCGGCTCGTGGGGCGGCTGGGCTCTGTTTTTTACCTGCTTGTGCCGAACGCTGACCATTTTTTTTTTTCTTTTTTCTTTTTTCTTTCCCCTTCCCGCAGAGACCAAGATCAAGCAGCTGGACCCGGACGACATGGACGAGCTCGAGAAGCTTGAGAACTGAGCGAGGAGCGGGGATTCGCTCCCCCGTGATCCGAGTTCTGGTTCAAAACAGAAGGAAAAGTTACAGGGGAAAATCTCCCAGTTCTCTCGCAACTCCCTCAAGCTGTTCGGTTTTGTTGTGGTGTTTTAGGAGAAGACGGGGTGGGGGGAGCCCTCGGACCCAGCGATTATTGTCCTTGGTTTCGTTCCTTGTTGTATCTCTGAGGTTTTCGTAGCCATGACTTTGCGTGGCTTGAGGAATCCCCCGAGGGGCTTAACACGGGGTAACGCTCCTCGAAAACGGGCCTAGGGGCACTCGGGAGTGGTCAGAAAACAGGGTAAACTCTGGTAACTGGCCCAAAAACGTCTGCTGCTCGTCCCCAGGCGGCGGCGGGCGGCGTTTTCCCCCAGCAAAATCTCGGAGGAAACTTTAATAAGGAAAAAAAAAAAAAAAATCGGGAGTAAAGGAGCGAGTTATAAACAACAAAAAACCCCAAACCCAACCCAGCCTCGCTAGGTGGCAGCATGAACCCGCCGCTG